GAGAGAGAGAGAGAGAGAGAGAGAGAGAGAGAGAGAGAGAGAGAGAGAGAGAGAGAGAATATATCAGTAAAAGTTTGCTATTATTTTAAATTCACTGGGTCTCTGTGTATTTTAAAGAACCGTTTGTGCCTCAGTGTTCAGTTGATTTGGGATTGAGCGTGGCCATTTTCCAGGGCTGTGAATGTGTAAGTGAGTGAGCATAAGCTTAACCTAAGAGTACACCCGGGTAACAACAATAAAACAGAGGAACTACACAAGCGTGCACTGAAATTCGCAGTTCAAGAAGACAGAGTGACAACCCCTCTGGCCACTGAAGACCAGGAAGATCTGAAATCTGAATCATACCTTCTGATTTTACCAGTCAGCTGTTGAGCTCCAGTGAAGCAGTACAAAGCATTAAATGAAGTTGCTTACCAGGTTTAAGGCCTGCTGCTTGGGCTGGGCTGTTTTCGTGAACCCGGCAAACAAAAGTGAACATCTCCACCCGTTTTGTGTCCTGATGGTGTAGCCCATAGGTCTGAAAATTACCCAGATGGGGAAAAGAATTATTATTCATTATGGCATGAGAAGGGTGGATTAGGGGTTGATGCTATAATCTATAATGAATGAGATAAAGCAGCATGAAGAGCTAGACAGCCATAGCAAGCTGTGAGATGAAATGAATTCCGCCTGATTTGGATCACTTCTCATTCTCTGAAATGTCGAAGATCAAACTCAGCTGAAAAGTGAGACAGGACAGATTCAAGATGTTGTCATATTTTCCTCAGATTTGATAGTCAACAATCTGAAAATCCAAGTCCTCAGTTTTCAACTTTGGTAATGTCTGAAATTTGTATTTCAACTTGTTTCTCATTTGCAAATAGCCGGAGCATGTGATTTAAAACCCTGTCCTCAATTCCTGCTGAGGGCAGTCCATAAAACTTCCTCTTAGCAGTTTGTGAGGTAAGCCTAGGAAGGAATAGAAGCAGTGGTGGGATTCAGCCAGTTCCGCACCTGTTTGGGAGAACCGGTTGTTAACTTTCTAAGTGGTTCGGAGAACCGGTTGTTGGAAGAAATCTCATTTTGTTTTTTTCCACTTTACAGGGCTAATCCTGTAAGGAAGGCGGGAAGGAAACATTCTGGTGTTGTTTCGAGCCCCGTGATGGCGAATGTGTGGCACGGGTGCCAGAGGTGGCATGCAAAGCCCTCTCTGTGGGCACGCATGCTATTGTCAGCTGTTCTTCTGGTTTTTGGCCAGCTAGTCTTCGTGAGTGCCTGAGCGCCAGAAAACGGCCCGAAAAAAAGCCCAAAAAACAGACAGTTTTTTGGGCTATTTTTCAAACAGTTTTCGGGCTGTTTTTGCGCACCAGCCAGCGGGTTTTCATGGGCACCAGAGTGCCACAAAACAGTCTTAAAAATGGCCAAGAAATGGGCTGTTTGGGATTGTTTTCAGGCCTTTTTTCAGGCCATGTTCAGGCTATTTTTTGGACCAGAAAATGGCCTGAAAACAGCTCAAAAATGACTTTAAAATGGCCCAAACGACAGCCAAAAAACAGGAATGTACGCACCGGCCAACTGGTCTTTGGGTTTCTGGTGCTCCGGCACGCGCACATGCATCTGCCTGCACGTACGTTCCGGTTTGGGCACTCGGTGCCAAAAAGGTTCGCCATCACTGTTTTAGCCTAATCTTACAGAAACTGCCTCTCCGGTTAACCCTTATTATATTGTAACAGTTAAGGCAAAGCGCCCATCAACACGAGTGATGTTGAGTTGGCCACGCCCACCCAGGCACATGACCACCGAGCCACACCCATGCAGCTGGTCATTAGGGCAGAGAACCGGTTGTTAAATTATTTGAATCCCACCACTGAATAGAAGGCTTTCTCCCAACATTTACCTGAATCTCAAAACCATACGTCTGAGTCTCTTCTTTCTCCAGTGTGATCACCTTCCTGAAACAATGTGAGAGGAAAGAAATTCAGCTGAAATTCCTCAGGACCTTGCATGAGGCAGATTCAAGCCACATTCACCAAGTTGTGTAAGGATCGCTCTTCACTTTCTGATTCCTCCATCTTCCTACAGATAAAGCACTGCCCTACAATATGATTTCAGTTACAGGAATTTCCCTTAGTCATAGTTCAGCAACTTCTGCCTCATGTGTGTTCAAAGGGAAGTGGAAAGCAGCATTCTGCCTCTTAGCCAGGCAGCTGGATCAAACATTTGCCCTGGCAAAGAATCATCTCTGCAGCTCAAAGTCCCTCTTTCCCTTACGGCTCCTTCCACCACCACTTTAAGCCAATGGAACAAACAGGAAGTGAGCAGCCTTTCGTGTAGTCTTTATGAATCCAGACTGGGGCTAACAAAATAACAAAAGGAGATCCAAATGCAAAAACATAGCCAAAGCAAACACAAATGTAATCAGGGATGAGGTTGCTGAAGCAAACATAGATTCAGAGGCAAACAACCACTACATCATTCAAGAGTATGCTTTTATATATGTATCTCCTTCTTGCAGACACATTTACTGCAAAAAGGAGATATGTAAGATAAATACCAAAGAATGGCAGACAATCTAACCTACAGTAATAATCTTTTAGGGTAAATTACATGGATGGCTGCTCCTCTGGCAGAGCCGCAATCTTTCACAATCAAATATACATTTTAAAATCCCAGTCAAATTCTCCTAAAAATTTTTTGAGTAACTTCAATACTAAAATGAACTAATGTTTACTGAATATTCTGAAAATTCCCATGAGAAATATTTGCATTGCTTTTCTATCCAAATAAACCAAGATTATCAATGTTCACTTTTTAAAAAAATCGAAGTCCATATGTTACCACCAGATGTTGTAAGTTGAGTGTATGTTCTGTCCTTTTAAGTGAAACTGATCATTCTATGAACATTGTCCATTTTATGATATGAATCGACCTAGTATAAGGATAGTAAGTGGACAAAATTTCTTGTTTGATAAAATAAATGCCTATTTAATGAAAATTTGGAAACCGCAAGGAGGAGACAAAGACTCCTCCTTTCATTTCATGAAAAAGTTTCTTTCTTCATAAAACAGTAGAACATCTGGCCACAAATAATGTATGGGCGCATGTACACACCCAACTTGACCTCCCTGTGTGCCTTTGTTCTGCTTATTATTTCTGGAAAAGAAGTATAGTTGAAATGAATTAGAGTGTTTTTATAAGTGACTCCCAAAAGTTTATTCAATTTCTACAAGTTGTCAATTGGAATTTAAGAAATGTCCCCAAGATAATTCAGAAGCATATTTTAGGAGAAACTCTTATAGAGAAGCATTTCCTAATAGCCTGGATTACTGCTGGCTTTTGTTCTCCTTGTTCTTTCACATAGAACAGTAGGTTTATCAAGGGGGAGGGTCATTATTTCTTCAGCGTTGCACCCTTAAAGAGGTACTGGCCACAAATCCTATTACCCAGCATGCTGCCAAGGTAGCAGGTTAGAAGAACCTGGAGGATGCTACGTTGGCAAAAACTTGAGATGAGGATGAAGTAAGATAGCAATAGCAACAGCACTAAGACTTATATACACTCCATAGTCCTTTACAGCCCTCTCTAAGCAGTTTACAAAGTCAGCATATTGCCCCCAACAATCTGGGTCCTTCTTTGACCGACCTCAGAAGGATGGAAAGCTGAGTCAACCTTGAGCCTGGTGAGATTTGAACTGTCAAATTGCAGGCAGCCAGCAGTCAGCAAAAGTAACCTGCAGTACTGAATTCTAACCACTGCGCCACCGTGGCTCATATTAAGATAGTGGGATCCAGACATCCTATATTTAATTACTATGTTTCAAAATTGGAAATTCTCTTTGTCCCCATTTAGCAATGAAATCACAAGCCTATAGAAGGGTATTTTTTATAACTTTCATGTGCCCCATTAAAACCCTATTTTCCTGTTCTCTAAGAAAGCTTCAGGAGAATTTCACCTCAAATCATTTGGAGAACTGCAACCATGGGGTTGGTAGCTGAGGTGAAAACAGAGGTCCTTTCTCCAATGCACACTTTTGTGACACTCTGTCTTTTTTTTCCTGCACAACAAAGCTTCTTCCTAAAGTGCTGAAGTGGCAATTTGTTCTTGCAACTTTCACCAATGCAGCTTTAAGGGCACATCCCTAAAACTTGAAGGTGATTCGGTATCAAATGTAATTGGTGGATATTTTGTCTAAACCCTCTTATTATGAGAGTTTAACGATGCCACATCCCAGTCTTCTTGCATCAGATCGCATGAAGGTAAGATCATCTCCTATTAGGGATGGCAATCTAATGTCCATCAGGTATGCTAAGAGAACAATTCCCATAAGCCCTGCTCAACCGAGAGGTAACTGTGGGAATTCGTCCTCCAACCTGTTACTCTGACCCTGTTTTCCCCAAAATAAGACCTCCCTGGATAATAAGCCCAATCAGGTTTTTGAGTGCATGTGCTAAAATAAGCCCTCCCCTGAAAATAAGCCCTCCCTGAAAATATTGCAGCACAGCCACATCCATGAGATGACCATGCTTGCCACCTCCTGCACCTCAAAAATAATAAGACCTCCCCAAAAATAAGGCCAAGCGCTTATTTCGGGAGTCAAAAGAAAATAAGACCCTGTTTTATTTTTGAGGAAACACAACATTACCATGTGATCCCGGAAGAGGATTTTGATTTGAGGAATTGCTGAAAGGTATTATATGCTTTTTTAGCTTTTGAATCAGAGCACTGTATTGTGCATCCCACTTCTGTTGGACACCAGGCTGGAGAATGTTGCGCCAGAGAGATAAAGGAGGAATTGCAATCACCATCAATTGAAAAGTTTACTGATTAAAGAGACAAACTGAAACTCCCTGCCTATTCCATGGGAGGTTAACCATCGTTCTGAAGCTTTAGCTGGGGAAATTCTGTCCCCAGCAGGAGATGCAGGACGGGAGTTAACACAGCCAGAGCACAGTTGTCAAACTCGTGATGACAACATATGACGTATCACTTTTCCCCCCTTCGCTAAAACGGGGGTGGACATGGCCAGCCTGTGACGCATCTGGCCTGCAGGCCACAAGTTTGACACCCCGGTCTAAAGGTTCTATCCCAGAAGGCATAATACTTTGATGATGCTTGTAAATTGCCTCCAGGTGCATAATGTCTATTACATCTCCCCCCCCCCCCCAGCCACTATAGGACCATCTCACTCACTCCCAGCCACAGGGGAAGACAAGAACTGCTTGGAGGCAGCTCTGCACAGTGTCCTAAGGGAGCACAAGCAAGAAACAGACAGCCTTTGGTTCGACTACACTGAAGACAAGGCTTTCTCTGTAGGCTGGCATAGTGGAAAGCAAGTCTGTCTTCAGCAGAGCAGGACAAAATTCACCACTGAAACTCTCCCAGCAGAAAGGAACAACTTAGCACCTACCTGTGCTGTTCAGGCGACTGGCTCAGAGAGTGCCACTTGAATCCAGAGCCCTGAGGGAGAGGTGGAAAAAAGAGAATTAGCCAAGAATATGGCAGGATGCTGGCCTCAAATCTCACTCCGAGATAGTACTGGTGGCACTGAGCCAAGGACTGGCACAACGGAGCCACAGAACAATCCCAGAGACCTTAAAGGCTGCATGCAAAGCACATTTTCCTGCCACCTAATGACTCTTCTTTCAGTCCTTAAAGTGGCATCAAGATCTGAGAGAACCTTTGCCTCCCTTGTTTACCAAGCTGTTTGTAAGAATTACTTGGGTCATTTTCATTACGTGCTTTCAACAATGCTAAAAGCTCAGCTTTGTCAGCTTGCTCTGGACGCCTGTCCACTGCCAACCTGGCAATGAAAACAGGTTGCCAAAATGAAACAAGGTCTCTGCCTTAACTCCAAAGCACAGAGGTTGTTTTGGGAAGCCAGTTGCTAGACAAGAGGCCATTCATGCAATTGGTTAACAGCACACAAGGGAGGGGAATTCGGATGGGGAGCCTGCTGGAGGGAAGCTGAGGAGGCATTCCCTGGTCTTCATCCTGTACGTTCTCTCTCTCTCTCTCTCTCTCTCTCTCTCTCCCTTTCTCTCTCTCTCTTCCTCCCCCTCCCTCCCTCCCTCCCCCCTCTCTCTAATCCTGATCTGGATTAAGCTTCCTGCATCTCTGGATGATGTTAGAAACAACCGTTCCTTTGCTCCATGGGAAATCTGTCCTCTTATGCCACCATCATCCCAATTTGGATTGCTACCCAAAAATCGGCTATTCCCTTTTACGAAGCGACTTGCACAATGCATGAATGGGAAGTCCTCTAGGTTGAAAGCACATTAGGTCCTCATTCATGGACATTCAGAATGAGGTTTCTGTTTCATTGCTTGAAGCAAAACAAAAAACAAAAAACGGTCAAGGAAGCCAGCGGAGATTGGCATCATCTGACTTAAAAAATTGATCAAAACAAATAGCACATCACCATCTAGGGTGCTGAATCTCCTGGGGGCATCCTGGTGCTTTATATCCAATTTTCACATGATCCTGAAGATTTCTTGGAATTGCATCTCAAGCTTGGTTATGTTTCCCCACTCCAAAACCACAAAGGCCAACTAAGAGGGTCTTACACCCACCACCGGGGTTGATGAAAAGCATTCAGAAAGTCACATCTGAACACTGTAGGCTTTCAAAGCTACATGGCGTGTTGCCACGGAAAGAGGAAAAAACCTTTGGAAGAAAAAAGCCCATTTTATTCCGAAGCCCTAATTTTAAAATAAAATTAATTGCCAGGACCATTCCGAACAAACACTTTCATTGTTGATGCTTCCACACAGTACATGATGGGAACTGAAATTTGGAGGACCAATTAGGAAAAATTATTAATACAAATGGATTCAACCGCCCTTGGAGGTGGGTGGTATCCCACATTCATGCCGTGTCACACCCCCTGAAGAATGTCAGCCATCTTGGCATAATGGCAAACAACATGACAATTGACAATGCTCTGGCTTTCATTAAACTTTCCGAGTTGTACAAGTGTGCAAACGTGCATGTCTTTTGGTTTATGGCTGAACTCAACGTCTCCTGCAAGGCGCAGCCAAGAAACGAAGCATCGGTTTTCTATTAGGCAGCTACACATGCAATTGGAATTATGCTTGAAAATAAACAGCTGTTCGTGTAAGACTTCATCCTGCCCGCCTCTGACAAACAAGCACTCCACCCTCTTCCCCCAGCCTAGAATGACCTCTGTTTTAACCTGCAGGCACCAAGTCTTTTTTAATTTGCATGGCTGCAACCATTTTCAAAAGGTTCAGGATTGCAATGACTTTTCAGAAGAGTGTGGGAGGGAAGGGAATGGCAGAAGCAAGGGGGGGCGGGAAAGACAAGGGTTTCCAGCTCCATGTTGGGATGAAATGGCCGTATTTGTCAAGCTGGACAATGGCATTTCAAACTCCCATCAGTGAAGTGGGATATTTGGGTGGCCTGCTGAGAATGGAGTAAATAGATTTGAATCCTACTGTAATGGCAGTTGATTCCCAAGGCACACGAGGAGTGTCTTCACCAGCTCTGCCTCTTTCCTCCAGAGGAGTCTGGACAAAACCCTGGAGGCTGTAGCAAGCTACCCTGTTTCCTTGAATATAAGACCTGCCTGGATAATAAACCCAATCGGGCTTTTGAGTGCATGTGCTAAAATAAGCCCTCCCCAAAAAATATTGCAACACAGCAGCAGCCATGAGATGACCGCCTCCTGCACCTCAAAAATAATAGGACCTCCCTGAAAATAAGGCCAAGTGCTTATTTCAGGGGTCAAAAGAAAATAAGACCCTGTCTTATTTTTGGGGAAAGACAGTAGTCAAAATTCAAATTCTACTTAATAAAAACAGCAGGTACTGGAAAGCTGAACCTGAGTCCTAAGCCTTATTCAGAAATCCTGCTTTGGAGCTAAGAAAGAGTAAAGACAGGGCTATATTGATCTTAGGAACAAAGGCGATATCAAAATAATAACGATACAAAAAATAATAACATGAAAAAGACCAACAAAGTGATACAGATATTGGTTTCTTCCTGGTGGGAGATGAACACATTCCTACTTCCATGCATTCATTCTGCACTTAAGTAAAAGACTTGAATAATTGCACACTGAGCACACACCCTTCCCTACAGTTCAGAATCCTTCCTGGTCAAGATCTCTTGCGAGGAAGTAAGAATAATATCAATTCAAGAGACACATACCCATTGATTTCATGGCTGGAAGGATATAGGACTGTGATGGCGAAACCTATGGCATGCATGTGCACCTCCTGCCGGCCAGCTGGTTTTTGGGTCTCTGCTGCGCATGTGCGGTGGGTGGGGTATATGCGGGAGACGCACATGCATGCGTGGTGGGCAGTGGGAGTGTGAGGGTCATGCACGCATGTCTATGTGTGGTGGTGGTGGGTCACGGAGCACGCACAGGGGTCACATGTGCATGCATGGGACACACAGGGGTCACGCGTGCATGCATTGCATTGGATGTGCAAGCCCATTTGGCACGCAACTATGAAAAGGTTAGCCATCACTGATATAGGAGCAGCACACCTGGTGATGACTTCTGAATCTTTTCCTCAATCCCAGTGCAGTTCTATCTATATCTATCTATCTATATATCTATCTATCTATCTATCTATCTATCTATCTATCTATCTA